CGCGGGGGCGGGCTGTGACGTCAGGGCCGCGAGCCGAATGCGGCGGGGGCGGACGCGGGGTCCCCGGCTCCTGCCAGGCTCCGTGCTTTCACCCCATCCTCGTACACCCCATCCCCTTACTGTAGCTTCCAGCAGTCAGCCGGCATCATTTTTCAATACAGCATGTTGTGTCGTTGGGACGTGTAACTTGTCATTAAGTCAGGCTGCTTTCAGAAAAGCGTTTTTTAACCTTTAACCCTTTTAAACAAGAATATTCAAAGTTCCCCACAACCTATTTAGCCAGGTACCACTGTCCGCATCCAGCGAGGGAGGGTACCTAAGAGTCGTTCATCACCTGAACTGCATCAGTTCATAGTCTGTAAGACTCCACCTGTATTTCCTCTGTTTTCCTAAAATAAAGCAGTGGTCCTAAGGTTTGCTTAAAAAGAGTGTTAAGATTAAGATCTGTCATTCGACCACTTGAGCCAGTGTTTGGCATTGTATTCAACTGGGCTTTGCTGGCTTGTTCCTTGCTTGATGACAGTTGTGCATCCCAGCCCTGAGATTACAACTCTGATTTAAGTGTTGGGTCTTTGACTCGTGCAGCTAGGTAATGTTTGCTTTACTTTTGTCTGTGAAAACTTCAGTCCAGCAATATCCCCTGAGAAATAGAAAATCAAGTCACTATAATAAAGATATTGAAAATTATTTTCAATGCTTTTGGATATTTTAAGGCCCCATGCTAGTAGGCCAGCACATTTATGAGCCTATTTAAACAGTGAATGAGACGTGAGATATATTGTACGTTTTGTGTTCTGATTTTTCTCATAAATCTATTTAGATACAGTAATGAAAGAATTGACTAAGGCTAAGCTTTTCCTCTCCCTTTTCTTTTTAACAGATGAAAATAATGTACTTTATCCTTTAAAGTAGTGTGAAACTGCAGTTAGTGATGTTAATATACTGCTTTTTAACCTTTTCAATATTAAAAATCATGAATTTTTATCTTATAACAAAAATTTATAAAATTTTTGTAAATTTTGAACAATTCTGAAATGTATGAAGTAAAGCAAAAATCTATTTTTATTACTGGTTAACACCTTGTATTTATGTACAAACAGAGCTATTTCTTTTTTTCTAAATTTAAATGATATGTAAACTGAGTTGCAGCCTGCTTGTTTAACTTAGCATTGTAATCTAGTGGGTTTATAACTTTTTTCTGTCAATTGTTCATAATCCAGATGACCTGGGTTTTGAGATCTATATTAAAGATTCTTAGTTAATTTTGTAGGTAGGATGGAAATTTTGTCATCCTGGTTCTTTTTCAAGTAAATGTTATTTCAGGAGCAAACAGCTCATTAATTTCCATTTATGTAGTTAGTACTAAATTTATAGAGAGCTACTCTCTCAAGGTTTTGTAGCCCTAATTAATATGGACTGTACCTTTCTAACATTCAAAATTTTTAATTTAGTTAGAATATTATAAATGAATGCTCAGTGTAGAGAAGAATCAAAGTCAAAACATGTTTGACATATAATGGAAATATTTTTGGATGTGAATGTGGAAATCACAAGATTTTCCCATGGAAACAGAGGTTTTTAATGCCCTTCAATATTTAACCCTTGGGTGAGCCTTGTTTTATAAACTCGTTACTGAAATCTACAGAGACTGTTTTCAGCTTTGCTTTTCCTAGCCTTTCAGAACTATTGTCTTTGAGTGAAAGCTCAACTTTGTTTTGTAGGAAATCTTACTGTAAATTTTATTGTATTCTGCCCCTTCATATGGGCTTGGGTTTAGATCAGTGATCAGACAGCATGTGCCGGCGTTTTATTGGAAAGGGCTAGAGAAATTCAGTGTTTGCATTATCCACTTGGAGCTGCTGACCCAGCACAGAAAAACAAACTAGGTTCAGTTGCAATCTTGATCGCTTAGCACTAAATTATGGGGGGAAAACTGGACCCCTTTTATCTTTGAGTTTTGGGGATACAGATGTTTGCAGTGTATTCATAATTATTCTAATAAATATCCAGTTACATTTAATGGTATTTTTAATGTTTGTTTTGAGAGAGAGAGTGCACACATGCGTGTGCACATGAGCAGGAGAAGAGCAGAGAGAGAGGGAGAGAAAATCCTAAGCAGGTTCCCTGCTGTCAGTGCAGAGCCCCAAGTATGGCTCGATCTCATGAACCATGATAGCATGACCTGAGACCAGATCAAGAGTTGGACACTTAACCAGCTGAGCCACCCAGGTGCCCCTATATAATTTTTAAAATTTTATTTTTTAAGTTTGTACACCAAAACTTTGGAAGAAGTTTTAATATAAAGTATGCAGTAAATGTCATTTTAAGTTTTGAATGGTGAATTCCAAATTTAATACAATAAAAAAAAAAAAACAACCTTGAGGAAGCAAAGAGGTAGAATAAGCTCCTAAGTAATTTTGTAGCTGAGTGGAGATACTAAAGGTTTTTTTTTTTTAATTTTTAACGTTTATTTATTTTTGAGAGAGAGAGAGCGTGAGCAGGGGAGGGGCAGTGGGAGAGGGAGACACAGAATCCAAAGCAGGCTCCAGGCTCTGAGCTGTCAGCACAGAACCTAATGTGGAGCATGAACCCACAAACCATGAGATCATGACCTGAAGTCAGACACTTAACTGACTGAGCCACCCAGGTGCCCCAGGTTTTATTTAAAGATAGGTTATAAATAGGAAATTTGAAGCTGTATTAAAATAATGTTTTTGCATTGAAGGAAAAGTATTGTCACTATTGACATATCAGCTGATTGCTGTTATGTCATACTCTATTACAATTTTCAACTTGTTAGATAATAAACTTCCAAAATAACATTTTCTACCTCACATTCCAAATTTGATCTCTATTACCTGCCCTCATTTGGCATTGCATACTCCCAGGACAAGTGTCACTCTCTGTTTTGTTTCTGCAAGAGAAACAATGATCTATTATGAGAAAGATAACATCTTTCCCATTTCCCAAACACGTCACAAGCTCAGATTGTAACATCAGTACAGAATGCAAATCCGATTTAAGGGACATTAACTTAAGACTGAACTTAGATTTATTGTGGAACTTTTCACATTGAAAAAATACTTTATGTTAACAAGTAATAAATTGCACAATTTTATGTTTGTGGTGTCACAGACTTGACTTCTGCTTTAAAATGGAATCAGCAAGATACTGGAACTATGTTACTATGTACATGTGCCCAGTACAAAGTTCAGAGAGAAGCTATTCAGTAGGAAGACAGAAAAATATGTGTAAACATATATTCCTTAAAGGTTACATATATCTGTCTAAGAGAGGAATCCGGGACTTTAAAAATTACTCATTACTTCAAATACATTTAATATTTTGATGGCTCAGTTGGTTAAGCATCCAACTTTGGCTCAGATCATGATCTCATGGGCCCCTACATCGCATTTAGGCTCTCTGCAGTCAGCGCAAAGCCCACTTCAGATCCTCTGTTTCCCACCCCACCCCCACCCCTTCCCTGCTCATGCGCACTCTCTCTGTCTCTCAAAAATAAACATTAAAAAAAATTTTTGATAGCCATACAACCAATGTGAAGGGTATAAATTATACCAAGGAAAATCGAAGCTACTGTAATAAAAATGGTACATCATGTTTGAGATAGAGAGCTTTTAAATATCTTTTTTTTAAGAAAAATAAGATGCATTTTTAGAAGATGATTTAAGAAGTGACAAAGTTCCTTACAACGTACTTACCAAGTGTTAGCTGCTTTCAGACATAGACTCTGCTTAAAATTTTTAAAGCATCAAAACTAGAGAGGAGTAAAGTGAGAGAGAGGCCTGGAGTGGCCCTGGCTGGGTGCTGGCCTTTCTGTGAACGAGAGATGCCCCCTTCCAGTGCTGTCCCTTGGATCAGTTGGTAGATAGCAGTTTAGCCTCATATTGAAAAGTATGATCATAAATGTATAAATTCCATCAAAGATCAAGAGAGCAGGAAAATCTGTTTTCAAACAAAAAAAGATAACAGCAGTACAGAACTGTATTTAGAAACGAAAACCTTAGTAGCCAATGATAAACCATAGTTTATCTGAAAGTACAATCTGACATACAGGGCATTTATCCTTTAATATTCTGTATGGAGTGTAGCTACCATGTTTTAATAAAACTGCTGTTGACAACTGTAGTTAATTTAGCAAATGTGTGTATCCATAGCTGTCACAGTCATTGTGAGTTACCTGTAATTATAGGTTGGTTGGTGTAGTTTATCTTATATTTTCTAGGACAGAAGGGAAAGAAAACCTAAGTATCTTAAAAGTTTTATGAGGAAGTACAGTTGACCCTTGAGCAACCAGGGGGTTAGGTTGAAACCAGGTTTCAAGCCGTGCAGTTGAAAATCCACATATAACTTTGAACTTCCCAAAAACTTAACTACTAGTAGCCTACTATTGACTGGAAGCCTTATCAGTAATAGTCAATTAACATTTATTTTGTATATGTAGTATATATTCGTAGGACAGATAAGCTAGAGAAGAGAAAATGTTAAAATTATAAGGAAGAGAAAATACATTTACACTTCTGTACTGCATCTGAAAAATTCTGTAAGTGGGCCCATGCACTTCAAACCTGTGTTGTTCAAGGGTCGATGGTAGTTGACTGTGGGCTACGATGATATCCATAACTTTTTTCTTCTCTGAACGTTTCCAAACTTCCTGGATTTTCCCATGATGTTGACTTCTAGAAAAGTGGAATTTAAAACTCCCTGTAGGTGTGCTTTCATGGACCTGGTGTCCCAGCTGTCCCTTCTGATTTGGCAGGCCAGAAGCGAGCTCCTAGAAGAGGGGAGCAGCAGGGATGGAATGACAGCCGGGGGACGGAGGTGACACTTGACAGAGCAGAGCGGAGATCCTACAGGGAATATCGACCCTATGAGAGCGAGAGACAGGCAGACTTTACATCTGAGAAGTTCACGGATGAAAAGTACGTACTGCAGACCTTGGTCAGGAGGGTGGGGGGAACCAGGAGGGTTTTACTAGAACTGTTAACCTTTGCAACCTTGGCAGTCACTTTAGGTGACACAGGAAGGATCTTCCATTTATTTCTTGGGTGACCTTAAGTCTTGGTTCAGGAAATGATGTAAGGTGAAAAATGAGTTATTTATTGGTAACTACACAAAGCACTCTTGTAAAGAAAAAAACTACACAGGAGTCTGTTAAACTGGTTAAATTTTCTTTTGCAGTTGAAGCTAAGCATAATTATGGTTTTGATTTAACATTACTAATTTAGACTACTAACAAATTTAAACAAGTTCCTAGCCCCATCGTTAGGTCACTTAGCTATCATGATGACATTTTAAGAAAATCTGATACAGTGTATAAAACCAATTTATGGCTGCCATACCTTCTTCTAGAAAGTGCTCTGATCTGGAAGGTAGTCTTGGGCTGGTGCAGCCTGACACCGCTCCTGACCACCCGTGCCTGCCTGTACACACGTAGCGGTTCTTTGTGTCTTATGCTTGGCCCTAACAAGACAGATGCTTACTGCCTAAAGTTTGTGTTAAATTATTCAACCTTCATAGCACTGAGTTTAGATTAAACTGAAACAACTTGTGAATCACATTTAAAGGAAAATAGGTTAAAAAAAAAGGCTAAAGGAGACTAGAATAGTGTACGTTGACACTATTAGCCGTCAACAGTTTAATGTCAAGGGAGCCGTTATTCCCAAAGTATTTCAAGTTCTTGACTATTGATTCCATTTAGGATCCTGGCTACAAGTTTTAACCAAAGGACATGTAAAAACTATGTTCATTAAAACACCACCTCATTAAAACACCACCCCTTCCCCCAAAAGACCTCCAGAAGTCCAGCAGAGAGTAGCTCAGTCTGAGAAGGCTGAGCAGCTGGTGGGCATACTCCCACAGATGTATTCCCTAGAAATTACATATTGAGAACATCAGGCTAGTGTATCTGCCACCATATTGGAGCGTGAGGGTTAGAGAAAGGCTTAATTCTGCTATTTTTGGAGAGTACTTCAATTTTGCTGTGTAATGGCCATAGTCTGCTTGCTTACAGAAAGACTTCTGGATCAGAGCTGCTTATTTGGGAAAGCATATGTGTATATTTTTTTCTCACTTCAGGGATTTATTCTGTGGAAATAAGGAAATTATAGCTCAAAAGCACAAACTCATGTTTCCAGCTTTTTTTAGTAGCTAAACTATGAGTCTTTTAAAAGGATGAGTATATGTTAACACAAAATGATGCCTATTAAGTGAAGTCATACATGAGGATAGGGGTAGAGTGGGGTATGGGATTATGGAGGGATTTTTCTTTTTTCTTTAAAAATAACTTCAGATTTATTGGGGTGCCTGGGTGGCTCAGTCCGACTTCGGCCCAGGTCATGATCTCATGATTCATGGGTTCAAGCCCCGCATCAGGCTCTGTGCTGACTGCTTGCTCAGAGCCTGGAAGCTGCTTCAGATTCTGTCTCATTCTCTCTCTGCCCTTCCCCTGCCCACGCTCTGTCTCACTCTGCCCCTCAAAAATAAATAAATGTAAAAAAAAAAAAAAATGAAAACTTCAGATTTATAGAAAGTTGCAAGAATTATACACAGAATTCCCATATACCCTCATCCAGATTCCCCAACTGTTAACATTTGCTTTATCATACCCCCTCCCTCTCTCTGCCTCTCTCCTTCCCTTACACACACACAAACACACACACACACACACACACACACACACCTTTTTTCTTTGACATTTAAAGTGCAGATGGGGCGCCTGGGTGGCTCAGTCAGTTGAGCGTCTGACCTCAGCTCAGGTCATGATCTCACAGCTCGTGGGTTTGAGCCCCGAATCCGGCTCTGTGCTGACAGCTCGGAGCATGGAGCCTGCTTCGGATTCTGTCTCCCTTTCTCTCTCTGCCCCTCCCCCACTCATGCTCTGTCTCTCTCTCTCTCTCTCAAAAATAAACACTAAAAAAAATTTAAAAAGAGTGAAGTGCAGAAATACCTCTTTATCCCTAAATACTTTAAATGTATTTCCTAAAAACATTGTACAATTATCAAACATATTAACCTTGATATATTACTATTATCTAATTCTCTATATCATGTAATCTACAGAGTACTCAAATTTCACCAGTTGTCCTATAATGTCCTTTTAGCAAAAGAAAAAAAATGCCTGGTTCAGGATCCAGTCCAGAGTGTGCACTGCATTTAGTCGTCTTTCATTTGGAACAGCTCTTTACTCTTCCTTTATCTTTGACTTTGACATGTCGGAAGAGGAAGGACCAGTTATTTTGTACAACAGCTCAGAACTGAGTTTGTCTGGAACAATGTCATGCACTTTGGCAGGAATACCACACAAGTGAGGTCTTGTGTCCTTCGCAGTGTATCATGTTAGGTATATGGAGGGAAGTTTTACTTTCAAGGAAATGTGAAATTATTTTTGATAAATCATGTGCTATCAGAAAAGATATTTTCCTTAGTTTCTTAAAAAGTACTCTTCTATTAATAAAGATCCATAAGACAATTTGGATAGTTTAGAAAATGCATACAATTATAAAGAAAATTAAAGCCACTTATCTTACCATTTAAGGTAATTACTTTTAACATTTGGACTAATTTTTTCCTTTTTTTTAATACATAGATATACTTAAATATTAAGATGATAATACATATATACTGAGTGCTTTATATTCTTTCTTTTTCCATTTGACATGGTCAAAGTCATTTCCATGTCACTAACAATGTTTAGTAAACATTTTCTTTTAAATTTTTTTGAAAGAGAGCATTTGCAAGTGGGGGAGGGGCAGAGGGATCAGGAGGGAGAGAATCCTAAGCAGACTCTACGCTCAGTGCAGAACCTGTCATGGAGCTTGATCACTCAACCGTAAGATGATGCCCTGAGCCAAAATAAAGAGTCAGACGCTTAATTGACTGAGCCACCCAGCTGCTCTGTGAATTTTTGGTAAACATTTTTTTTTAATGTTTTTACTTATTTTTGAGACTGAGAGAGAGAGAGAGAGAGAGACAGAGCACAAGTGGGAGAGGTCCAGAGAGAGAGGGCTAGACAGAATCCGAAGCAGGCTCCAAGCTTTGAGCTGTCATTATGGAGCCCAATGCAGGGCTCAAACTCATGAACTGTAAGATCATGACCTGAGCCGAAGTTGGACGCTTAACTGACTGAGCCACCCAGGCGCCCTGGTAAACATTTTTAATGGCTCTATTATGAGCTGTTGTGGATGCAGTACAGTGTAATAATTTCCTTAGTGTTGGACCTTCTCTAGATGGAAGTTCTAGAAATGGGAACCCCAGTTAGGGCCATAAAGCAGTGGTTCTCAGCTGGGTGTCATATATTAAAACCTGGGACCCAGTTTGTGCTTCAATGCAAGTTTGGATGGGTGCATGTAGTGTGAAAACAAATTGGAGTCAGGGGGATCTTTTGATATGTAGTGACCAATCACTGTCTTAGTAACCTGTCCATTTACTCTGTCACTAACAATCTAGAGCATTTCTCCTAGCTCTTTCTGCAGAGTTGAATATAATAAACTTTGACCTTGGCTTATTTGATAGTGAAAAATGGTGTCACCTTGCATTTCTGTGATACCTATACATATTTATTGGGCAGAATTATTGAATCTTGATAATCTTAACAGACTGTCTAATTCAGTCCTCTCAATTTATGGATGAGGAAACAAAAACCCGGAGTTTCAGTGATGGCTATTGTGGTCACAGCCAGCTCATGTGATTTTTATTCCACTAAAGCAGAACACATATTTTCACATCGAAGCGGTGTCATAAGTGGTGCTAGGAGTAACTGTCCATGTGGCTCAGGTGCAGAGATCAACCAGGACACTTCCAGATCACTGTTTTTAATGTATAAGGAATTTTTCTTTAGGCTCCAAATGATGAACCTAAGTGAATTCTTTGAACATAGGCTATTAGGAAATTAGCCTACCTCTGTCTGGATATATTTTGACTCTTTCTTTGGCTCTTCTTGAAGTTTAGTGCTGGTCATTCAAAGTCAGTTCCAGTTCTGAAAGAATCACTTACTCAGATGTTTAACTTTTTTTTACTCCTCATATGGAAATAGTTGAGAAAAATTGGGGTAAAATATACGTAACATAATGTACCATTTTAGGGGCACCTGGGTGGCTCAATCAGTTAAGTGTCTGACTTCAGCTCAGGTCACGATCTCATGGTTCATGGGTTCAAGCCCCACATTGGGTTCTGTGCTGACAGCTTAGAGCCCGGAGCCTGCTTTGGATTCTCTCTTTCTCTCTGCTCCTGCCCCACTCTCACCCTGTCTCTCTCTCAAAAATGAATAAACATTAAAAAAAATTTTTTAATGTATCATTTTAACCACTTATAAATGTGTGATAGTACGGTGGCATGAAGTACATTCACATTGTTGTGCAACCATCCCCATCATCCATCTTCAGAACATTTTTATCTTCCCCACCTGAAACTCTGTACCCATTAAACACTAATTCCCCATTCTCCCCTCCACAAACATCATTCCCTTTATCTGTAAAACAGGTACTCATGCCTAGTTAATTAGGATTGTTGTTGGAGAGTGGATTACCAGGATGTAAAGCATGATGCTTGGCTGAAATGTTATTTTCCATCCTTTTCCTTGTGAGTACATAACAAATAAAGATTCTTAAGTGGATACAGGATTTCTCAATGCTCCCTTGCCTGAATAAAAAGAGGATATGTTTTATCGTTCTAATTTTTAGTATATGTGCTGCCAACATGAGCACAAAGAGGGTGTATTTTATAAGCAAGAAGCAATTGAGAATATATATATTTAAAGTGTATTTGTGAGAGAGAGAGAGTGCACAAATG